CGACCTCGCCGGCCATGTCGCTCGTGAGGAGCTTGTCCAGGACCGTAGTAACGTCTCTGTCCATGGGCCTGAGTCTACGTAGGCTTGCCAATCGCTACATGCCTATTACTACTAATACCCTAATGAGAGTGTCCTAATCCATGCCTCATCACATAGGTAATGGTATAAGCAAGCTCCAGGTCAATACCATCTGTCATGGCCATGACGTGAGCCTCTACTATCGTGTTTTCGGAGGAAGAATCACTACCTGATGGAGTGTTCGATTCGTCAAAACTAGTAGGAGAGTTAGAAGGAAATGGATGGAGATCATCTTCAGCCATGGGAAGTGAACAAAAATGAGGTCAAAGAGTTAGAAAGGTGTTTTCAAATGGAAGTGAAAGGAAATTAGATGGTCACGCCTTTTTACAAACTTCCAAAGATGTGAAATGACTGATCTAACCGTATAAAACTCAATAGGGCCGGCAGACCACTCATTTACTCGGCCAACCAAGTTTTTAGCTGACCTAATGACCATCGATAGCGTATTAGAGAAAAGTGGTTCAGAAGTGTGTAGTAGTTACTTAGCGATATATGGTTGTTATCTCTATCGTGTGCTAAGGTAGGATTATCCACCAAAACCCGCGGAGAGGAAGGTTTGTCCCTGTCTTTGTTGTGTATTTCCTGTATTTGCCTCTGCGGCATAATATTTCTATTGTTGCAATCGCCTCCCACACGTGTGAAGTGTGTAAGGCATAAACATTTAGTTAATACCGCCCCCTATGAGGTTGGCAGTTAACACCACCCTCAGTTAATACCACCCCCTAAAGGGTTGGCAGTTAACACCACCCTCAGTTAATATTGCCCCTACATAGGTTGGCGGTTAACACCACCCTCGGTTAATATCACCCCCTGCGGGGTTAGTGGTTAACACCAGCCTCAGTTAATACCGCCACTTGCGGGGTTGGCAGTTAACACCACCCTCGGTTAATACTGCCCCTTACGTGGTAGTTAACACCACCCTCGGTTAATACTAACCCTTGTGGAATTGGCGGTTAACACCACCCTCGGTTAATACTGCCCCTTGTGGGTTGGCGGTTAACGCTAGCCTCGATTAATACCACCCCCTACACAGGTTGGCAGTTAACACCACCCTCAGTTAATACCGCCCCCTATGCGGGTTAGTGATTAACACCACCCTCAGTTAATACTGCCCCCTACGTAGGTTGGCAATTAACACCACCCTCGGTTAATACCGCCTCCTGCGGGGTTGGCGGTTGACACTATCTTTTCTCCTTTCATGCCACAGCATGTTTGGAGTGTGTTGTGGAGTTCCTTGTTGCTGTGACTACCGGTCATATGTGGTTTTGGTTGCGGCCATCCTTTTCTCTTTTTGTCTCGTACTATGGCACGAGTGGTGTTGCATTTCTTTCATACATTGCATTCTTATGGGTGTTGTTCATCGTTCTTTATGATTTCTTCTCTTTCGTAGTTGTTAGTTTGCTTTTCATGTCATTTGCATGAGATCCTCCTCTCTGTTTTTTTTTCCATCTTTGCAGCTTTATCTATTGTTCCACCTTGTCACCCTCCGAGGTGTTCGCATCATCAATCTTTTCAAAACTCCGACAGTGTGGTACAATAAGCCCAATTATCAAATCATGGCAACGCGTGCCACATAAGCCCAACCTTTTCAAAATATGTTTTGAGCATGGCATTGGCATTTTGCCCCTGAACTACCCTGGTTTGATTCTTTGCCCCTCGTGTTCAAACAAGTTTTATCTGCATATTGTTTGTCTGCCTAAGTCTTACGGCCTTGTCAAAAAGGGTCATCTTCGGGCTTTGACATTCACTTATGCCGTGAAATGATGCACCAAGCTCTACCAAAGAGGGGCCATTGTAGACACCCCATTTTTTACTAGCCTTGAGACTTGGGAGTTCCCTTTTGAGTTCTTGATGAAAACGAGAGGTGTTAATCTTTGTAAGTTCCACGGCAGGAGTTTTAAGAATTAAGCTTTAAACCCTCCAACAACCTATTTTGGACAAAATGTTTTTCAACCAAAATGGAAACCTCTTTCAAAATGAGTTTTAGTAATACTACTCTAAACATTACCACAATGTTGTGAGGCTCATATTTTTAAAGTCAAAGCATTGTATTCTTTCAAACAAACGGAGCAAAGACTATAGTGGAAGTGAATGGGAAGGATGAAATCCTCTGAAATGCATGTTTTTCCCTTTAATTTAGGTTAACTTGCTCTTATTGATCTAACGATGTGCCCACTGGGTAGCTAGACACCAAATGAGGGCCAGCTAAAAAAGCACTCAGCCGATCATCAGGAAACTTAACCGACTAAATGTTTCGGCTACAGATCATTTTCAGGGATTCCAACTTTTTTTTTCTTACCTACCTCAAATATCTCATAAATTTATGATCTAGACTCTATATATAGAGCTCACCAACTTTTTTCAAAGGGTTGGAAAAAAAAACTTGCCTCTGGGATAGCAAGGCTTGAGAGCTCTCTCTCCTTCTTTCCTTGTCTCCCACGTATCACCTTCAACCTTAACATTAATTTCTCCATTAAAGCTTGATCCTAAGCTCTAGACAAAGGATTTTGGACATCAAAGGACACCCTTAGAAGCTCTTGAGGGACCTTAAAGGGGAGTTTGTGAACAAGAAAGGCTCATCCTCTTTAAAAGGTGAATCCTTAGCATCTTTGATCTTACCGTCTTGCCTTTTCTTTAATTCTAGCTTTCATTTGCATTATGTAATTGTTGTAAGTCCTCATAGATGTGGAGGGAGTAGCCTTAGTCACCCATCCATTGAGTTGATAGCCTTTTCTTTATTTTCTTGATTTCCTTGGCTCTAACTGTCTAGTTCCTGTGAATTTTGGACCCTTGTGGATGTGCTTGGAAGTAGTTGTAGCCATCCATTCACAAGTTCAATAAATAAGTACTTTTTTTATTATTACACCTCTTATCTTCACCTATCATTTCTCTCAAGTGTGCTAATCTATATGTTTCAACTCTTTACTCAATGATAATGAGTGTTACGGGTTGTTTCATGAGATTACTTGGGTGATCCATGGGATTTGGTGTGGATAAGTGTTGTATTCCCCCTTTTCATTAAGTATTTTGGAAGGTGTGAGAATTCCCCCTCAGAAAAGTCTCCCTTTGGCCTCTGTCCTGAAATCCTGCACTAACCTAATTATCAGATGGAGAATTAATTCGACTAGCCATTTTCTACTTCAGTCGACTCATCTGGTGTCTGGTCTATCATTCTTCCCCAAGAACAGAGCAAACAGTTTCTGAGGAATGCTCCCCTGGGTAGTTATGTAACCCCTGATTTGTTAGATTCAGCAGTAGTGAGGCTAAATCGATTCATTATTGTAATAATCTCTCTCTCTCTCTCTCTCTCTCCCTTTTCTTATTCGAATTGTTGTAATAATTTTCTAGCCCCATGTCTTTCTAACCCTTTTATTTACTTGCTTTCGGTATTGCATCATGTTTTCTTTATCATGCCTATATATTGTATCCACTTTTCATGCATTTGGGTCCAGATTATCCACATTAATAGGATTTACTATCTTCAAAGATGAATACATGCATAAATCTAGTATTGTGGTGATACTCACACTACATCTTAGCATTTGGGCTCCTAGATGCATGTTCTGTGTGTATTGCATTAGAAACTCGTATATAAGATCAAGCATATCTATACATATATGTATATGTTGAGACTCGCCTTGGAGTACTTTGTGAGCATTTTGAGCTTTAGCATATTGCATCTGCATGTTCCTTACCATACTTATTACTACAACATGAGGCTAAGTTCTTAAGTGAGATATCTGTTAGAATGCCAGTGGATGAAGGTTGTGTTATCTATTTTGGAGTGTAGATGATTCTTATGCTATAGATTTTATCCAAAAAACCCTTCTCAAAAATGCAGCAAGTCAGAGCATAACCAAAATTTTTGACACAATCTATATTTGAATGCCTCAAATAGTAATGGTAGCATTATTAATAATCAAAATATGAATTTACATTGATTATAAAAAACCACATTATGACTTAGTAGAGACCGATCTTTGATCAAGTGAGTGGGGTGCTCAATTAATGACCTTCCCCACTCATACATATGTTCTCGAGCTGAGCCACTTTGGTTATGACAGACGATGACCTTTGGCACCAGTCATGGGTTTTCTAATTTCCCCAAAAGATTAGGTGGTGACTCTGAAACCTAGTGATGTAGTTCATTTTTGGCAATGTTTTGCAATAAAATTGATTTTTCTATAAAAGTTGTCAGATTTGGACTCTCATTTTCTGTTTCACATTGCACTAGTGATATCAGATAAAAAATCAAGAGTCTAAACTATCGGGCATCCTTGGTATTCCCAAAAAAGGCATCCCATAAGGCTCGTTTATTTTTGTTTTGTTAATATCTTTTGGACAAGCCTAATACTTTTATTTGTATTAGGCTTGACCCACTTTTGTTATAAACAAAGATCGTCTTGGAAATATGTAGCTATTAGGGTATGAACTTATTTTTATTTCTTTTCAATTTTATGTATATCGATCACATGCTATAGATTCATAATCTAGGGTTAATGAATGTATTAATACATGCGACATCTTCTATAGTATCTCAAATGAATCAATGAATGAAAGATCTTTCTGGGAATTCAACATGCCCACTCTCACATAGTCAAGGCTAAATTCAGATTTCCATACATAGTAAAATATTGCTAATTCACTTCTTTCCTTGCAGGCCATTCAACATGCCCACTCTCACATAGTCCAGGCTGAGTTGATGAAGAAAGACTTTACCAAAAAGACACAGAAAGCATCAAACTTCCTCTCTCAACTCAACAAAGTCGAGGCTATCAGTTGGACAAGATCAACGCAGTCAGGGCTGGCAAATGCAAAGTTGAGGCTGCCTCTAAAGCCCCCAAAACTATTATTGAAACCACTGAAGAAAGGGTTGTTGAGGCCGAGAAAAAACTGAATGAAGCCCTAGAAAAAAAGTCAAGATGAAGGTCGCTGATGAAAAGGCCTGTGAAGATAGGCAGGCACAAAAAGTAAGTCAACTTGGCCTACAACAAGGCTTACTACCTTGGCTGGGTTGCTACTTTGAAAAAGTTGTCAGTCCTCAAGGAATCACCCTTTCGAGATCTCAATCAACTTGACGTACCTTTCCTCCCATTCCTTGTCTAATCCAAAGAGGAGGAGGAGGAGGAGGAGGAAAAAGAGAAAGATGAAGGCAACGACACTATTGCTACTGAGACCAAGTCTCCAACTCTGAATGATCATGTCATAGACCTGACTGAAGAGGATGAGGATGAGGTCTCTAAGAGCACCTCTCCGCAGAAGGCCGACACTTTTGAGGCCAAGATTGCTGCTACAAGCAAGAGCCTTGAGGAGAGTCTAAAAGAGATTGATGAGGAAATAGCAGCCGACATCGAGACTGAAAAGGCTACTGCACTGTCCACCCAAGCCAACACATCGCCAGCTGCCGAGGTGGAATAGATGGAATAGACCAACAACGTTGCTCCAGCATCTAGCACTTGGGACTTCCTTCTTTTTTTTTCTTTTTTCTTTTTTTTCCTTTCTTCTGAACAATCTTCTGTTTTGCTAGGCCGAAGTCTTTTCTAGTGTAAAACTTTACTTTCATTAATGAATCCTCTATTTTTCGCTAAGTGTAGAATGCTTGTTTCTTTATACTGCTTTCATATGTCGTGTATACTCTTTCCATCTTAATGCTTTGTACTTCATTAATTCTTCTAAGTATAACATCTTGGATAACGCCTTACCTCAGGTAACACAACCACATTGGATTATAACATCTCGAATAAAACTGTTATTTATCTCAGATAGCTTGAATTCATTAAAAAAAATTCTAAAAATGGTAACAAGTATCACATATTCATGTATCGCATTCACTTGACTCATCCATGCTCTCTGCCTCCTAATGTGAATGTAAGTACAACTTAGGTTCACATTAAGGATACATTGTCTGAATCTTGTCTGAGTCTGACTTAGACATCCATGATCGGAGTCATTATGTTTAGCTCGTCTAAAGAAAACACTTAAGGCTTAACCTTAGTGCAGCGAGGGTACTACTTATCTCAGCTTTTTGTACAAACTAGCCAGATCATGGAGAGTTTCGCCTTGTTTTTTTTTTTTTTTTGAAACATCTCTTTAACTTAGTTCAACTCTGCCATCCTGGCAAGTCTAAGTTAAACGTTTTGTTCCTCTTTGGAACATCGACCTAAGACATTTTGTCTTATCTAACAATTATAAATTTCAACAACATTTTGTAAGAAACAAAATCGAACTAGTATTTTATTAATAAGAACTTTGGCTAGACAATCTCTAGATTACATCAAATAAAAAGAAAGAAAGAAATTAGACTAATGATAGAAAAACTTAAGATTACTAGTATTCTAAGGTCTTGGCAACTTCTTGTCATCACAGTCTTCTAGCCGATATGCCCCATTGCCAGCAACTTATATAATTCTATGCAGGCCTTCCAAGTTTGGGCTAAGCTTACCCTCTCTAGGATCTTTCTTGTTGCTGACAACCATTCCTAAGACAAGATCCCTACCTTGGAATTTTTACTTTCTTGTTATATGCTCTGGTGAGTCGCTATTAGTATGGCGCCAACCGAATTGCTGCTCGTTCCCTTTCTTCTTCCATCAAGACCAGATCTCGGGCTAAAAATGACCCGTTCATCCCATTCTCTACTCCCTAATTTCTGACCCTAGGAATGCCAATGTCCAGTGGTATAATGGCCTCAGTGACATAAGTCATGGCAAAAGGTGACTTTCCAATTGATCTTCTTAGCGTAGTATAGTATGCTCATAGAACATTGGGCAACTCCTCCACCCATTTATCCTTGGCAACTTCCAGTCTCTTCTTTATTCATTCTAAGATGGTCTTGTTAGAGGCGTCCACATGGCCATTGCTTTGTGGGAAGCTAGGAGTTAAATAATAGTTCTTGATCTTATATTTTGCATAAAAATTCTTGATCAACTTGCTATCAAATTGGGTGTCATTGTCTGCCACAATGGCTCTTGGGATCCCAAATCCGGTAATAATGTTCTTCCAGATGAAACTTCTCACGTCCACATCTTGGATTTTGGCCAAAGGTTTAGCCTTCACCCACTTTGTGAAGTAATCCGTGGCTACCAGCAAATACTTCCTCTGTCCAGTTGCCTTAAGCAATTGCCCAATCAGATCCATGCCCCACTGGGTAAATGGCCAAGGACTGAATACTGGATTCAAGTCCCCTACAGGCTGATGTATCAAAGGTGCAAACCTTGACACTTCTCGTACTTCTTGACATAGGCTTCTTCGTGCTTTTGCATGTAGGACCACTGGTACCCTTGGGATATGGATCTATGGGCCAGAGATCTGCCCCTTACATGGCTGCCATAAACTCCTTCGTGGATCTCATATAGGAAGTCTTCTACATGGGAAGGGTGCGCACATTATAATAATGGTCGAGTGAAGGACCTTCTGTAGAGGTCAATGTTGCTGGTTTTTCGTGCTCCTCAGAGGGGTTTAGTCTCCTCAGATACGATAGCCCTACAGTTCGGACTCCCGTGGTTCTAAATCTGGTTTCACAAGTGCAATGTGAAACAAAAAAACAAAAATGAGAGTCCAAATCCGGCAAACTTTAGAAAATCCATTCAGAGATGCCAGAAATGGACTACATTGCCAGATTTCAGAGTCGCCATCTAAATATTTTTGAGAAATTTAGGAAACTCGTTACTCGTGCCAAAGGCCACTTGTCCGTCACAACTAAAGTGTCTTGGCTCGAGAACTTAGGTATGAGAGGGGGAAGGTCATGAATTGAGCACCACCCTCACCCGATCAAAGATCGGCCTCTACTAATCACGATCCTATTCTTATCAACACTATATGCTCTTGTTCTGATTATTATACTAACTAACTATGTGAGGAACACAAGTATAGACTACGTCACTGAGTTTGGAATACTTTGTTTTCATGTTTGTTTGAAAAGAGTTTTGAATGTGTGCTATTTGAAAAGCAATCTCATATGTACATTTATCAAAGTCATCCCAACTTAAGTGAAATAGCCTTCATCCACAAGCAATCAAACAGGTATTTCAAACTTAGCCTCATGGTAGTATGCTTGACATGGCAACACATACATACATGCAATATGCTAAAGCAAAAATGCTCGCCTAGTACTCAACCGAGGCAAGCCAAAGAAAAGAAAACAATTAGAAAAATGCATGACCGTAGCAATGTACATGACTAATGCAACACATACACGAATGCAACTATTATGTTCAGATTATTAACATGTCATATGGATTAACTCAGAGCATGCAGTAACGCACGTATTCAAGTAAGCAGGAAAATAATAATGATATTAGAATGATGAACCGAACCCAGTGTATGCAAAAATGGATACAACGCATAGCAATGATATGAAACCAAAACATGATACTACCATGGTAAGCATGTAAGTAAAGGGGGAGAAAGAAATGGGGGTTGGAAGACATACAAAATATTACAAATTTGTCATTGCGCAAGAGGCTCTGAATGGCCTAATCAACTAATTAAGTGAAAGAAACTAATTAATTACAAATACTAATCTAAAGGAATTAAATGAAAGGTGGGGAATTGCACATGCACATCCAAGAACATCCTTCGAAAACCTCTTTCTGCTCACTGCCATAAGCTGCTCTGTTTACAATCTGAAAATAGCTCTGTTTTGGCCTCAAAATCTATTAGGTTTTGCCAACAACAGACTGCTGTTTGCACACTCCGAAGCCGGCCAACCTATAATGAGGCCCGGCCAACTCTAATGAATGCCTATTTTGTTTTGCTAAATAGTGTAGTCGGCTGAACTATTGAACTGGTTGGCCGTATAAGATTGTGGCTGGCCGGCCACTATTTCTGGAGAATACCCTGCTGTAGCAGAACTAGATAGTAATGGAGACTTCAGCAAGTGCTCTGTAAACACCGCAATCTTGTGAGCCCGATAGTAATGGTTCAGCTTCTTTAATGCCATTACCAGCGCAAGTGTCAGTTTCTCCAGAGGTAGGTACCTCGTCTTTGTGCTTGCCAAAGTTTTGTTCACATGTTTTTTGCTCTCCTACTTCTTCTCAAATAACCATTGCACTGACCGTGTGGTCTGAGACTGTCAAATATCTCTTCAAGTCGGTCAGGGCAACTTTGCATGCTTCTGTCCATAAAAAATTTATGGCCTTCTTCAGCAGCTGGAAGAATGGCTTTCACTTATCTAAACTCTGGCTTATGAACCTATTCAATGCCACTGCTTTTCCGATCAAAATTTAGACTTCCTTAGTCATTGTCAGACTTTTCAAATCAAGAATGGCCTTAATCAGATCAGGGCTTACTTCAATTCCTCTCCTATAGCTAGATATCCCAGGAACTTACCAGAATCTAATTCGAATGCACACTTAAAGGCATTGAGCCACAACTGATATGCTTTCAAGATGTCAAAAACCTCCTTCAGGTGGGTTAGATGGTCGGAGGTTTCTGTACCTTTAACGACTGTGGTGGCTGAATATAATATACTAAGAAAGGCCAAATGAATTTGAAAACATCAGGCCAAAGACAATTCGGCTCCATCCAAGGGCTCTTGAAGCCAAATATACAAATCGGGCACGTAAGGAACCGAGTAAGAACTAGCACACAACCGGAAGGCCGAGTAAACAATCATGCGCGAGATTAAGAGTGGGCCAGACCCTTGGGCCCAAAAGGTAATATAAATAGAGGAACATCAACCAAAGAGAGGTATGTGAGAATAGATAAAGTAACTTGAGATAGAAGAAAACTGGAGAGAATACCAAGTTGTCCGTCAGAGTGCTAATTTCGCCACCCTCGGCCGGAGTGTTTATTTCTTTTTCAGGTAATGATCAAAGGATCAGGGACGTCTGACTGAATTCAAGAGTATTTTCCAAACCACTTCTCCACAATTGGCACCGTCTGTGGAAAAACTCAAGTACATTCATGGCAGGCGTAATAGATGATCATTCGCTCGTTGTTGACAATGTTACACCAAGAGATGATGTTACTCCAAGAAACATGCTTGGGCTGGAGAATATCACCACCAGAAGGGCCCTGAATTTCAACTCAATAGCTCAAACCTCACCCTCAACCTCAATACAGGAGACTATGCAAATGATCATGGATCAAGCGAAGCGAAATGAGCAACGCTTGGAAGATATGGCAGCTGATAACGAGCGTTTACATAAAGAATTATCCTTGGAGGTAGCCAAATCCCAACAAGCCGCATGCTGCTAACCAGGGTCGATCCCCTAGAAAAAAGGATGATCGACGACGTCGACTTCCGAAACATGGTAATGGCACTCCGACTCACCATTCCAAGGGCCCAGAAAGAAGGGACGAGTTGATGTATCCAGCTCATCCGAAGGGAGCCCGTATGTAAGGCACAGGCGAGGAAAAGAAAGTGATGATTCAGATGAGGAAGATAGACATGACCCTTTCGTACGACGTATCGCAAG